GTGTGTGCGCGCGCGCGCGCGCGCGTTTGCTAGCACTGCTCGCCAAGGCAAGATTGTCCAGGCAAGCTGTGCGAGTGAAGGAGCGGGCGACGTCGCTGTGTCAGGGGTGGGATGGAGCTGACTCGGCCGAGCAGGCGGCTCCAGATCTTTTCCACTCCGTGAAGCAGCCCCCTGGGTAGGTCTAGACGCAGAACATGGGGGTATGCTGGGGTGCAGCTCTGAGCAGCAGGTGTGCTCAGAGCGGGCTTCCCATTCAGGATTGTTGCTCATAGGCAGACCTTCCAGATCAGCCCTTTCTCTTGTGCGATCGACTCCGCCATCCCCTTCATTGCCGGAACCATGGCCTCCCCAAACGGCCCTGCGCGGCACCCACGCGCGGCGTGGCACGTCAGCGATGCATTCAATACTCCAAAACGACCCAGGATGCCGCCCAGGAGTGTGGCCCGCGAGCCGCCGGCGCTGTGACGGCGCCGGCGTTGCGCACGAGGCAGGGGACCGTCAGGGGCCGGAATGGGGAGGGGTGGGGGGCTCAAGGCATTAGCCGAATATCTGGGGCCCCACCGTCATAGGGAAAGTCCACTTGGAGGACGACAGGCATGGCGCGGCCGGCAGCAGTGCGGGCTCTGCTGCAGAGGGGCGAGGTTTGGGAGCGACGAGGCGTGCAGCGGGCGCGGCGCTCATGAAGCTGTTATCAGTAACATGGTAACGGGTGCGATTGCGATGTAACCAGGCAGGGCGGCGAGTATGGCGTTCCATGTCGCCATGCTCCTCGCTGAGCGCCTCGAAACGAGAGCGTCAATGCACGAGCCGCAGCGCCGCTTGGGCGAGATGGAGCAGGGCGAAGGCCTTATCAATCCGGTTTGTGGCTCCATCACTCACACAGGCTGATAAATTGACTGGTGGACACGCAATACGGGTCAGATCCGCGGTGTTGCGGGAGATCAAAAGCCCGCCACGATTCAGCGGGTGTGAAAATGTATGTGGTCATACGTCGACCAAGCTGTGTAAGGGGGGTTCTGTGCTTCGTGCCACATCAGCGGTTCCGGAGCCACTCTGGTCAACACGTCCCCTTCATCCCTCATTGCTCGCATCGTGAGCAGACACAATGCTGTCAGGCACCAACTGGCAACATGCCCCTCAGAGATTGACAGCTCGTTCTTGCACACGTTCAATATGAGACAAGTCGCCTTTTACATCAGCAGACGCCAGCGCCAGCGACGTGTGCAGGGAGCTCGATGCAAAAAACAGAGTATGTCACTCGACACGTGCACACATGACTGCCTGCAGATCCGCTGCTGCGACACGCCCACCTATCTCTGCTGCCACCGATGCCCGCGCTGCCTCCCACTCCGCCTGCCGATCCTGCTGCTGCCTCTGCTGCTACTGCTGCCACTGATACTGCTGCCACTGCCCCGGCTGCCCGACGCTCCGCGGTGCTGTAGCTTCAGCTTGCCACCCGGCTGCACGCCTCCATGCCACAGGCAACCTCGCTTGACGATTCCCAACCACACCGCTACGCTATCACCCGTTGCCTGCCATTCAGTGTCACGGCCGCCGCTGCCGCCGTCTGTCCAGGCAAAACACAGCGTCCGCTGCGGTCTGCAAGAGCAAGACCACGGCCGCGCCGCAGGCCGGCGCCGCATGGCAAACGCGCACGTGCGGCCGCCTGATGAGGACCGGCGGCCGCGGCCGCGCCGCGCGGGCAGCGCCGCCAGGGGGGCGGCGCGGCGCGCGCACACTGTCGGCCGCCTCATGAGGAGCGGCGTCCGCAGCGCGCGCGCGCCCGTGCAGTCTTCAGGCGAGGCGAGGCGCCCACATGAGGCGCCACCTCGGGGCGGGCGTTTTGTTTCTTAGTGTTGAGGGCTTGGGTGCTCGCTGCAGGGGAGGCTTGTTGGCCGGCCGCTTGGGATGGGCGCCAGCCAGTGCGTCAGATGGGATTGAGGGGCTCCGGGAGCGAGGCGGGCTTCACTTAGGCGGGTGAGAAGAGTTCTCGACAAGTCGGCTGCCGGCGCCTCGCCCGCCGACTGCCGGCAGCACGGAGACGAGCATGGGATGCTGTGCAGGGGTGCTCCAACCGATGGCCTCACGCCACACCGCGCCAGACCACACACGCACGCACGCACGCATGCACGCGAACGGCAGGCACGACGCAAGCAGCAAGCAGGCGCGACGGCACGAGCACAAGCAAGCACAGGCTCCCTCCAGCAGCACGCGGCGCCGGCCTGGCTGCCCGTCGGAACTCCGACGCCCCCACAACATCCCCGAAGCGCCGCCACCAACGGTGCAGCTGCTTCACAGGTTCGACGCCGCGGGCGTCCGGCGGAGGCTGTGCCCCTGAAGACGGCCGCTGCACGTCGCGGCGGCGGCGAATGACCAGAAATCCGTACCAGTGCGGCTGGGCGCTTACGTTGATGACGTCGGTAGTCCCGCAGTCATGGCGGCTGGGCGTCCACGTGACGGCCTGGGGAGTCCAGCAGTCTCGATGGTGAGGTTGGGCTCGGCTAAGCAGCGGTCGGCGGGGCCGGGGACCTTGGGCGCGTGATGGGCGGCAGAGTGCGGGGTGCGGGCGTCGTGGCGGGCGTCGCCCAAGGGGCGGCGCCGCGGCGGGAAGGTGCGGGGGCCTGGCCCAACGGGCCTCAGATACGAGGCGATGACGGCGGGCGAAAAACCGAGGTGCATGTCGATCCGCGGCAGCAGTCAGCGATGGAGAGGAGGAGAAGAGCCATGTCTAGGCATTCAGCGAGTGCGGCCCTTGGCTCGCGGGCGTCGCAGGGGGCCGCAGGAAGGGACGACAGAAGGACTCAATGCATATGCGATGCGAAGCCCACGGTAGTGCAGTGCACGGCCGGAAAAATCAGGGCTCCTCCCCATCAACGCGACTTGCGCGAGGAGGGCGCGCCGGCAACGACGGGACATTGACGGGCGGCAGGCCGCCGCCGGTCTTTTTGAGGGAGGGGTGGGGTATCGAGGGGGGACGGCTGCGGCCGGGCCAGATTGGAGAGGGCGCCGCCTCGGACCAGATGCCGGACCAGATCGCATCGGACCACGTCAGATCGCCTTAGGCAGCGATCTTGGCGAGGAAGTCGTGGATATCGAGGTTGACGTCGCCGTGGGCGACCTTGCCCTTCTCAGGGGGCGCGTGCAGCACGCCGCGACCGCAGGAGGCCTTGCCGTCAAGCAGCCGCTCGCCGCCGGGGCCTGGGGCGGCGCGGATGGAAGGGAGGCGGCGGCGACGGCGAGAGCGGGTCGAGTGAGAGCGCATGCATGTGTGTGGGATCGGCCTGGTCTGTCCCTATGGGAAAGACCGCACGGCGCCCGCGGTCCCGTGAAAGCGAGCGTGCCAGATGCGCGCGCGCGGGTGACCCACCATCCACGATGACCGCGCCACATGATAGCGCCCACTCCTCCGCTGCGGCCAGCCCCGCCCCCTCGTCTTCCACCGCCGCATAGTCCCCATCAAACACCACGCTCCCGCGCCCCGGCAGCGGCCCGCCGCCGCCGCCGCCGCGGCTGCGTTCCCGCTCCCGCTCCCGCCGCTCCGCAGCGGCGGCCGCCGCAGACGGCCGCGCGGCGAAGCCGGCCGCCTCCGCGAGCGCGCGCAGCGGGACGCCGGGGCGGAACGCGCGCGCGAGCGCGTTGAGCGCGTGCCAGCGCATCGACGGCACGTGCACGTCCAGCAGCGCGCGCCCGAGGTTGGGCGCCGACGCGTACAGCTCGAAAAAGCGGTGGTACGAGCGGGACGCGATCGCGGACCGCGCCTGCAGGAGGGTGGCGGGTCGTGGCGGCGGGGAGCGCGGGGGGCTCAACCCGGCGGCCAGGATCATGCACAAGGCTGCACATGCACTCCTGGGGGTATTATCTCGTCCTTGTGGGTTCCGGCTGGCAGCCCCGCTATGGAAACCCCGAAACCTTCAACCATACCAGCCCCCGCCGCCCTGGCCCCCCAAAAGCCAGCGCACTTCCACCCTCCCCGGCCAAAAATCCCACCTGCAGCGCGTGCTGGACCTCTGGCGCGTCCGCCACCTGGCCCACCCTGTTCTCGAGCACCTGCCGGATGGTGGCGCCCAGCTTGCGGCCCTCGCCGTGGCGCGAGTGCACCTGAGAGCGATCACGGGGCCGAGGGCGGCGATTGTGAGCTTATTTGGGACCGCAACAAGACGCGTCGCGGGGCTCTGCAATTCATAAGGCAACGCTTGCATGAGGGTAGTCATGGGTGCGGTGGTATACAGTAGCATGTATAGCGTGCACAGACTCACACGCGCGCATGCGCACACACATGCGTGCGCAGCACGACCCCGCACCCATGCGAGCGGGCGCACACGCATGGCACGCGCCTTCACCGTGCAGGTTCCCTGCTACCCCCCTTCCCGGCCCCGCCCGCAACCACCCGCCACACCCAACAGC